CAAAATATCCCTCAAATAGGGAAATTACCCACAATCTGGCATCACTGTATTAAAGAGTGCATTCATCAAAGCGTGACTTAAGTCACTCGATAGCATTGGAGTGACCTATGGATTTTGTTGTTTCAGATGTGGAAATTTCGTAAAAGTTCCTAAATAAGAAGCGCGTCCAATTCGTTGGTTAGTTAGGTGGTCTGTCTTAACCCTTGCGCGAACGTAAGCCTACAACTAGAAATATATATACACGACGAAATGAGAAGCTTTTTCTTTTGTGGTAATAATACTCTTTTCTCTGCTTTTGGTAATAATACTTTTTTCTAAAAAGATTTCTTCCTTAAAAAATGTTTCCTAAACATTATTTTTTCCAAAAATTTTTCTCTCAAGTGTATATTTTTTCTTAGATAGATAGATAGGTATTTTTTGAGGTATGCACTGCGACCAGGAGCTCTATTGTGCCCTCCTTTTCTGGGTTTTTTTTCTAAAAATTTATATTTTTTCTCTGAAATTTCTTTGTTCTATATTTTCTTTCTAAATGTAGTTCTATTCTAATTTGTAGTAAGTTTTTCTAGGTTGATTGGTCCTGAAAGGGTTAAAAGAAGAAGAGGTTTTTAGTTCAGCGTTTGTCGAAAGAAAATAAATAGTAGACATCTCTGTGGTCTACAGGACCCAATATTTATCTACTTGATGATAGAAGCCGGTCTTGCCTTACAATCTTGAAACCATACACTCAGGTAAAATTAAACCACTTAGTGGTTGCAATGAATTTCAGTATGCCGTACAGAGAATAATATTCACTCCGACATAACTATATCATAGATCACTAGACGATCAGGGCTATGCCCTTCTATAGACGTCACGACCAATACATAGCCTACACGGGATAAGCCACTTGATTTTAGATTTTATATCGACGTGCATAAAGTAAAAGCTCTCTCTGATTGCAACAGCTCGGTTTGAAATATATAGAAAGCTTTAAAAAAGCTCTGTACGCGGGACCGTTTTTGATATCTTCAGACCGAATGAACTTTGTTATTTTCCGCGTACCACAAAAATAAGACAATCTTGCAATTAAATAAGATGTCACAGTATATCGAGCAATTTCGATTGGTGGAATACACGATTTCATTTAATTTACCCTCATATAACTAACTTTTTTCCCTCTCCAGGAACATGTGGAGCGTTTGGCGTACAGTACTCGAAGAGAACGAAAAGCTCGCACGCGCTCGCCTCGCTGCCATCGAAGTGTTCCAACAGCAAATAGCCGATGAGGCTAAGGTGTTACGTGACTACAAATTGGCCATTTCCAAGAGGGCGCTCTCACAAATAGTCAACGTACAAAAGGAGCTACATCTCAGTGTTTCCGATGTGGATAAGACAAAGAAACAATATTTCGATGAGGAGCATTGCGCACATGATGTGCGCGATAAGGCACGTGACATTGAAGAGAAGCTTAAGAAGAAGAAGGGTTCGTTCTTCCAATCAATTACATCACTGCAAAAGAATAGCGCACGCGTCACGTCACGCAAAGAGCTGCTGGAGGAGAAATCGACTGGCGCACGCAATGACTACATACTCAGCTTGGCTGCAGCGAATGCACACCAGAATCGTTACTTCACAGTCGATCTACAAACAACGATGACCACCATGGAGAATTATGTGTTTGAACGTGTGGCCGAGTACCTGACATTGATGGGTCGCACCGAATTGCTCACCTGTTCTGCCACACAGAACTCATTCGGCAAGATACGCGATCAGGCGCAACAATTGACGCGCGAATACAATTTGCAGTGCTGCTACCTTTTCTATCCAGTGCTGAAGCAACACATCCAGTACGATTTCGAGCCGTGCGATAATGATCCAGTACGGAAGATAACCACCGAACATGAGTCGGCATCAGAAACGCTTACGAAAGAGGCTAAAAATTTGGCGGGACGTGTGGTGAAGGAGAACTTGGCAATACGTGAGGCGGCTAAGAAGTTGGCTATTTGTGTGTCACTGCGTGACTCAGGACAACGCAGCGATCCAAATGATCCGAATGGACCAGATTTGGATACAAAGATTGAGGAGTTTAGGGATTTGATACGACGCTCTGAGACGGAGAAGGCCAAGGCCGAGGCGTGCTTGCAAAGTTTGCGTGAAGGTGGCATCAATGTGGACGAGTGGGTGCAAGAGGCCGAGATTATGGGCGTACAGGAATTGGCAAGATCGGCTAGCTCGATCTCAATGCGCACCGATGCGTCCGGACAAGGGGTGAGTGTGACAGTGAGGTAAATGAAATATTTTTTCTAATCTAAAATAATACGCACGCAGGAAAATCCCAGCTCGGACTCATTCTATGACAGCGACAAGGAGGACGCTACTGCCACGCAGGCTGGTGCGGCCGCCAAATCAAAGGTGGAGAAGGAATTGTCGCGCGATAAGACATTTAGCGACAGCGAAGAAGGTAATGTTGGCAACAGTTGATTTGTAAATGAAATTAACTAATAACTATTTGCTTTTTACTACAACAGAGGCGGACGAGCGGGTACCCGAGCCGATTGCTGCCGTACCGATGATGGCTGCCACTGGCGGCTGGGATGACCCAACAGAAGTCAACTGGGGCGGCGAAGAAGAGGAGAAGGAAGAACCCATTGTTCCTGAACCGAAGGAGGCTATCTTCAAGTGTACAGCTCTGTACAGTTACACTGTAAGTGCGAATTTTTTTTTAAATTATCTTCTCATCTCACCCACTCTTTGACTCCTTAATTGCAGGCTCAAAATCCAGACGAACTGACCATTGTCGAGAACGAACAACTG